TTCTATTGGCCATAGAGTGTGTGAGAGTTCCAGATACTCTGGCAGGCTGTGTTGGACTGCCTGCTTGTCCTTGTGTTATCATTCCTCCAGTCTTCATCTCAGATCAGCCTCTGTCACCTGCTCTTCCAGGCAGGATTGATCCCATCTTTCTTTGGTTACTTCACTGGACTGATCACATCTTAGACATTTTGTTCAAAAGACCTCAGATTATCATCTCACCAGAAAGTGGGAACCAACAAAATAACAATCTATTTCTTCTACATGTATTTTCATAGTGCCAGGCATTGTTGTTGTCGTTGGAAGTACAGATGTGAGCTTACACATTAATGGGAGACAAATAGCTCATAAGAATGAAAGTAAGTATAGTAGTCCTCTCTTACATGAGGTTTTGATTTCTGATGTCTTGGTTGCCTGTGGGCAAGCAAAGTTTGAAAACAAAGATATGTGTAAGGTTTAAATCCCGTTCTATTCTGAGTAACTGGATTAAGTTTTACATTCTCCTGCTCTTTCTTCATGAGGAAGAATCATCTTTTTATCCAGTGTATCTCCCATGCTAAACACTATCCTCCTTGGAGCCATGGTGGTGATCAGTTTGGTGTTCTCAGTCCCACAGTACTTACATTCATCTAATTCACATTTTACTCAATGTACTCAGAGTGCATGGGTGGTGATACCAGCTATCAAAGAGGTATCACAAAATGCTTCCTTTAATACAAAGATGAATGTTTCTGACTTGATAAACGTGCTGATTAGTTTTGTCAATGTGACACAATGTAAAACCATTAGGGAATAGGGAGTCTCAATTGAGAAAATGCTTACATCTGATTAGTTTGTAGGCAAGTCTATTAATCAGGACATTTGCTTGACTAATGGTTGACCCATAGGCAGTGCCACCCCTGAGTGGGAGGACCTGGGTTGTATAAAGAGCAAGCTGAGTAACCTAGGAGTAGAAAGTCAGTAAGCAGTGTTTCTCCATGACCTCTGCTTCGGTTCCTGCTTTAGGTTCCTGTCACGGCTTCTCTCAATGATAGACTTTTAAGACAAACAAACCCTTTCTTCCTCATGTTGCTTTTGGTCAATGTTTTATCACAGCAAAAGAGAAGCAAACTGGGACAATAAAGACCAAAAATCATGTATGTGGAGATGGACAAGACTACAGTAAGAATGATTCCTCTTGAAATCATAAGGAAAAAACTTCATGTTGGTATTATTGTCCCATGTCAGACTATAAAAGGTCTGGGCATTATGCACAAATGTTCATTTGGTATGGAAAAGGCATTAAGCCTGTGTGCGTATATATGAAAAAAAAAAAAGGAACACTCAGGGTCCAATATTGTCTTTGGCTAAAGGCATACACTGAGGGTCTCAAATATATTCCCCAAGGATAAGAAGTGGCTGCAATATATATATATATATATATATATATATATATATATATATATATATATATGTATGTATGTATGTATGTATGTATGTATACTTGAAAGAGAGACCTGAAGAGGGAAGGGAGTAAAGGATAGTAAAGAGAGGGAAGCCATTTGAGATGAGGACAAGGATAATGGATCTAGAGACAGTAGGAACAAGTCACTCCTGTAGTGGGAAGGAAAAGAACATTCTAGGTGAAGAAGTAGGATTGCACAGACACTAAGACAGGGGGTATTTCACAGGTGTGTCCGAGAAGAACGGTGGTGAAGGATTTTTCAGCAAAGGCATGACAGTGCCGCTATGGGACTTACAGAAATGTTTATGATTGAGTGATGAGTATGGAGGTCAAAGAAACCTGGCGTCTTGGGAGCAATAGGTCTGATAAATGGCACTGGTTGCGGCACTGATTACCATGTGGAAAGGTCACGGTCATGACAGAACCCAGTGTTAGTTTTCAGAGCTTTATTAGGAGGGAAAGGGGGGAGAGGGGAGAGAGGAGAGCCAGGCCTGGAAAGAGAAAAGGATGGTGGGGTGGGGGAGAGGGGAGCAGAGCAGAGGGAACAGAGAGAGAGAGTGGAGTCTGCGTCCGGCTTTTTAAGGTGCAGATTGTGTGACTACACTGCACACATAGTCGCCAGCACCTGCTGATGACATAAGATGCAAGACCCGGAACTGTGTATGTGCAGTCATGTAGCTGGAGTGAGGGCAGAATTCTAACAGAGAGACCATTAGGAGGGTGCTGTACTGGCACAAGTGAAAGATGTGGTAGCTCAAACTAGGGTGCTCACAGCAGGTCATTACAGAAAATCATCTTACTATGGCATATATTTTGAAGACAGGGCTGACAAGAGCACTTGAGGGAACAGAGAAAAGCAAATATCATATTTGAATTTCCAGTCAGAACCTTGGTCCAGATGTTAAGTAAACAGCTGGAGGCAGGAGTCTGTATTTCAAGAAGGACTGGGGCTGATATCACAAATCTAGAAGGCTATTTCAATCACAGAAATAGAAAAGCATCACTTGAGGAATGCATACAGGTGGACATGAAGACAGACATCTATCATGCACAACTTACATGATGAGGAGAAGCATAGAGCGTCAACTGTGGCAGGAGAAAGGCAAGACCATGTGATGTTCTTAGAGGCCCATAGTTTAGACACATCACCTCTTGGGCTCTTTCTCTCAGATTTCTATTACACCTCCAGCTGAGCATCTGCGTCTAGGCCTTGGATCAACTTCCCTCAGGATTTCCCAGAAGCTTCTCCCTGGACTCGTCCTTCTCTGAGAGGCCTTCTAAGGCTCCCCACTCACCTCGTTCTCTCTCCCTCTTCCTTTATCTCTCTCTCTCTCCATTTCCCTTTCTCTCTCTCCACTGGAGTCTGAACACAGGACTTGAAGCACGCTCAGCTTGCACTCTGCCACTGAGTTGAAGCTGCTGCATTCCCCTGTCCTTCCATAGCTGATATTTAATTTGTGAGGACATGAAGTACCCTTCCATTGATTTGTGTCATTCTTTTCACTCTGACATAGAGTCCTGGTACTAACATTGTAAGTCTCTGCCAATCAAATACAGTTGGAGAAAGATGGCAAACCCCAGAAAACAAACTATGACTGGTCAGTTTAAAGAAAAACTGAAGAGAAGAAAAACATTGGTATTACTGTTGAAACATAGGGCCTCTTTATCTCTATATATGTTAAACAACAGTGACAAATACAGATGTAGCACTGCCAATCATCAAAATTAAAGTGACTATTTTCTTCTAAAGAAAGTTTGATTTATTTATTTATTGCTTTGTCCAATTTATTTCTTTTTTATTAATTAGATTTATTCATTTATTTTACTCTCCTACTGTAGTTTCTCCTCCCTCTTCTCCTCCCATTACCTCCCTTCACCTCCATCCACTCTCTCCCCATCCACTCCTCCTCTGTTTCTGTTCAAAAAGGGGCAGGCCTCCCATGAATGTTAACAAAGCATGGCACATCAAGTTGAGGTAGGACTAAGCTCTTTCCTTTGTATTAAGGCTGGGTAACGCAACCCAGTATGAGGAATGGGTTCCCAAAAGCCTGCCAAAGCTTCAGAGACAGGTCCCGCTTCCACTGCCGGGAATCTCACAAATAGAGCAGGCTATACAACTGTCACACATATGTAAAGGGCCTAGGTCAGTCCCATGCAGGCTCCATAGCTATTGGTCTAGAGGCCATGAGTTCCCACTAGCCCAGGTCAGCTGTCTCTGGGTTTCCCTGTCATGATCTTGACCCCCCCTTGCTCATATAATCAATCCCTCCTCCCTCTCTTCAACAGGATTACCAGAGTTCAGCTCCGTGCTTGGCTCTGGATCTCTGCACATGCTTCCATCAGTTAGTGAATGAAGGGTCTCTAATGACATTTAGGGTAGTCACCAATCTGATTACAGGAGATGACTAATTTAGGCCACCTATCCACTATTGCTAGGAGTCTTAGCTGGGGTCATCCTTGTAGATTCTTGAGAGTTTCCTTTGCACCAGGTTTCTGTCTGACCCTGAAATGCCCCTATCAAGATGTCCCTGTCATTACTTTCCCCCTCTATCCCACCCCTAAACCTATCCCTCAAGTTCCCATTCCCACCTATTCCCAGTTTACCCAGGAAATCACTTCTATTTCCCCTTCCCAGGTAAATCCACGCATCCTTCTTTGGGCCCTCCTTGTTACCTAGCCTCTAAAGAAAGTTTTATTTATTTTTACTGCATATGTGTGTGTGTGTGTGTGTATGTGCCTCATGCTCATGCCTGTTGTCCACAGAGGACAGAAGAGGATGTTAGATCCTTGAACTGGAGTCACATACAATTGTAAGCAACTATGTTGGGTGCTAGTAATGGAACCCTGACCCCCTGACCCTCTGAGTGACTGGACAGTAATCTGCAACTGAACTAACTCCTCAGCCCCCAAGGTGAATATTTTCAATGCTGGAATTATGAAACTGAGACAAACACTTCAGGAAAGTAGTGTAAGTTTTGACTTTACCCATGCATTATGCATTCAAAGACTAATTACACACTGGACTTTATTCTAGTGTTTTGAATATAGACACAGACAAGTTGATGGAGGCTGTGCTCTGGTGAAAGTTCATTCCTGAATGAGAGAGACCAGTGAGTGGCAGGTACTGATAAGCACTCTGAAGCAAAGCAAGTACAACTCAGGGAAATGTAAAAGGAGAAAGGGGCAGGAGTGGATACTATCCAGGGCTATCTCTGTCTACACATATACACCATGTTACAGCTCAGGTCTCTAATGTTTCTCAAATGTTCCTCTGTTGAAGCCTCAATCCCCAGCTGATATCACTATTGGGAAATGGTAGAAACTTTAGGCTGTGGGGCCTATTTTGAGGAGGTAGGTCAATGGAGTTTGCCTTGAAGAATATATTGGGACCTCAGATCTTTGCTCTGTTTTTTGTTTGCTGGCCATGATGGGGACAGCTTTCTTCTTCCACACTCTCAGCCATGATATTCTGCAGCCTACAGGCCCAAAGCAACAGGGCCAAGTGGCCTCAGGTTGAAACATCTAAGACTGTGAACTGAACTAAGTCTTTCCTTTTCATAGGGTGATCATCTTGGATAGTTCGCCCAGTGATGGGAAGCTGACTAACATCTAGCTTGCAGGAGAATCTTTGGACAGCTTCCATGAGGTTAGTTGTCAATCTTTAAAGTTTGAGTTGCCTTTCAATCATTGTCTGAAACCTCTGGAAGCCAAATCTTACAAATGAGGTAAATGATCAAATTGTTTAGTTCTGTTTGGGGTCAATATATGATTATTCAATAATAAGTTTCATACATAGTTCATTAACTAGCACTGGAGAAAATGCTTGGAAGGAATTTCAAATATGCTTTGAGTTTCTGCCACAGGATAAGTGGCCCAGCAAATGAATACTTTGAACATCACTATCTCCATCCAGTCTCTTGAAATGGCTGCTTTGAAGTCAGGCGCTGCTGTTTTCTTAAGGTCACACTGGCTAATAATCACAGCTAATAGGGTTCTGCTGGAAACCCCGCACTATATTCTAACTTAAAATGCTTTTTGGCAAAATCTGTTGCAAAAATTTCAGAATAAAGATCAAATAGAATATGATCATCAGAATGCATAGACTATTGGAAAAATTCAAAGTTGGTGCCAATAAACATAAATAACTTCATCAAAGAAAAGAGAAACAAATTATATTGAAAAACACAAGTCCTAACTAGAGAGCCTCTGCCCCCATATTTAAAAATTCCTTTCCTATTTAGATAATGCATTCATTTATTGGCTGGGATTTGAGTTGTCTGTGAGGAAGCAGTATATGTTTTGTCAACATCCCCGACTCCCAATTTATTCATCTCTAAAAATACGATGTTTTCACCAGATGTGGTAGTCCACATCTGTAATCCAAGGGCTTGGGAAGCCCAGGAAGTAAGATCATCACAAGTTTGAGGCTAACCAGGGCTGCATAGTGAGCCTCTGTCTCAAAGAAAGGAAAAAGAAAAAGAAAGCTTTACAGAAGCAGTAGAGCTATTTTTTTTTTTCCACTAAAGATGTTTTCTTAGAGAGCAGAATGGTTTGAAAAACAGAAAAAACACATCTAACTAGAGTAAGCAATCAGGAATTTGTCAGTTTACCAGACTCAAATGTTTCACTCTTGGGTAGATTCATCCTAGAAGCTCTGTTTTGGTTTTGCTCTTAATACGGTAACATACATGTTGTAAAATCTACCATTTAATCGTTTTCTCGTACAGTCAGTGTCACGCTGTGCACTGGCCTTGCGGTGCACCCATCATGGCCACTTATCTCCAGAGTTTTTCATGATCACAACCTGAAAGTCTGTGCCCATTGAACACTAACTCCCTGCCTCTCCCCTCTCACTTAGTGTCCTATAAGTACTACACTGCTTTTTGTACCTTTGAATTTGACTGGGAGCGGTTATATTTATTGTATGAAAAATGGGCCCTCAAGCATGCTAAAAACTCAGCCACTTGGAAAACAGCCACACAAGACTTCACTCACAAGTAGCCTAAAGCAAAAGTATGGGAAGGAAACAGGCAGAGGTGCTGAGTACCAAACACAAAGATAAATAGCTAGAAAACAAGATACTCTCCTATGAAGTTCTGCAATGCCTATTTGTCACGGAGGTCGTAAGCAGAGCAGATGACACCCATTGTCTTGTGTTAGCTCTCAGCTTCATGACTTTAGCTGTCTTGCAGTTGCTCTCTGGGTCACCAGACCCATCCTTCCTAATCCTTCCTCCAAATGGCCATTACTATACCTTCCCTGAAATGTCAGTGTTACATCCTTGCCGTAAATTCCTTAGCAGTTTCCTCACTGCCCACAAGTTAAATTTCAGCCTGTAAATGAGGCTTGCCTTCCATGCTCTGACACACATGGCCCTGGCTTCCTCAGCCTTTGCATGCCAACTCTGCTGACCAGAGCTCTGACCATTTGTAGCACATGGCATCATCCTCTCACATGTCTTGGAATCTGTGGTCGCTAAGTTCTTTCCTCTGGAAACATCCCCTCCCTTCTCTCTGCACCTGCTTGCGTAGTTATAACTCACTCCAGACTCTGCTCAAATGTGATATCATGTTTGGAAGAATTGTTCGATCCATTTCCAAACAGACTGAAGTTGGAACCTTTCTCTGTACCTGTTTAAAAACCTACAGAGTCCACTTTTCAGTACACACCATTTTTAGTCTGTCTCCTTACCATAAACACTAAGAAATTCCACAAAGTTTAGGCTCTAGGTCAGTAAAGTGTCATTTAAAACCTGCTGAATGAATGAGCGATGTGACAAAAACATAAAAATTCATAGGCTTCTCATCCAAAACAATATTTCAGAATGAGCCAAGATTTGTTTTCTACTTTAATCAGAAAATGAAAGTCAATGGTTAAACAATAGTTGACAATTACCCAATATATGTGTAAGAATCTCTGATTATATCTAAGTATTTAAATTTGGTAACTTCTTCCAAAGTTAGTCTCATTTAAATATATTTTATGTCTTTGTAACTCAGATTTTAAGTGCGTATACACTCTAATATATGTATGTACACACACATATATGTATGTGTACACACACATAGTGATACTTGAATGGTCTTGTCAAACTTTCAAGAAGTTTTCCTTCTTAATGCATACCTACAATAGGATATTTTTTTACTCTGTGGCCATTTTCCCAGGCCTTTCAACTATCCATCATGTAACCAATTAGATGTAAAATGGAGTAGCATGATTTCCTGAGTGAGGCAATATAAGACAAAACATTGCAACTTCCTGTTTCCCCTCTCTTAAATAATTTCCCCTCTCTTAAATAAAAGCCAACTGTTCAATGTCCTGGGAAAACAGGTGGCCCCAAGGCCAGCTCCCTAGGCTAGAGAAATGAGGCTTCCCTTCAAGATCCAGGAGTCGCCCATCTTCCATGTGAGTGGACCACCTTAGCAGCATGTTCTCCAGCTCCGTCTTCACTTGTTTCTAGTTCCGATCAACAATTTTAGCAGCTAGATAAGAACTCTAACAGTGAACCATACACACAGTCATTTTATTAATTTAATTATTATTATTTTTAAAAAACCACAGGATTTTGCTTAGTTGCCCAGGATTTTGCTAAATTGCCCCGTACTTACCTTGTAGTCCAGGCAAGCATTAAATCTGTGGTCCTGCTACCTCACCTTCCTGAGTAACTAGGGTTACAGGCTGCACCACCTGACTATTCTGTAACCTCGTATTTATTGGGATGCTGTTCATAACTATGGAGCTATAGTATCAGAGTTGTGCCCATCAACAGAAAATATTGCAAAAAATGTAGAATATATGCATATGTATGTTCATTTATAATAAAGAAGAAAAATCACGTATTTGTAAGAAAATGGATGAGACTGAAAATAATCATAATCAAATTAATTCATACCCAGTGAAATAAATATTACTTGTTTTCTCTCATATGTGAAAATTAAAATTAAAAAAAGATGAGGAAAGAAGACCATTAGTAAAGAGAATGGGACAAGGGAATAAGAAAAAAAGATAAAATAGCCCAACTAGCGGAAACACATGAACTGTGAACCAATAGCTGAGGAGCCCTCATGGAACTGGACCAGGCCCTCTGGATAAGTGAGACAGTTGATTAGCTTGAACTGTTTAGGAGGCCCCCAGGGCCTGGAACCTGTCTTTGGTGCATGAGCCGGCTTTTTGGAACCTAGGGCCTATGCTGAGACACTTTGCCCAGCTTTGGTGCAGGGAGGAGGGGATTGGACCTGCTTCAACTGAATGTACCAGGCTGGGCTGACTCCCCAGCGGAGACCTTGCCTTTGAGGAGGTGGGAATGGAGGGTGGATGGGGGGGAAGGCTGGGGGCTGGGAGGAGGGAGGACAGGGGAATCCGTGGCTGATACGTAAAACAACTAGAAAATCTCTTATATAAAATAAAAAAAAAGGAGTGAAAAAAAAGAGAGGGTATTAGTGAGTAAATATAGCCAAAGTATATTATGTGTCTAAATGTAAACTTTTATTAGCACACATTTATCATACAGTATAACAGGTTTTATAAAAGTCTATGTCCTAAGCAACTGAACTAAGTACTTTGCATGAATTATTTATTTTGTTACAGGTAGATTTTATTATATATGTTTCACACATTATGTAAGGGGTTTAGAAAACTAAAATGGCCAAGATACTTTGTCTAACAATTTGAGCAAGTGAGATTCAAAAGTTGAATCCAATTATGTGTTTTCCGTTGTCTCTTCCTGGGACTTGCATAACTTCTCTTTATGGATATGGGTACCATATGTATGCCTGTTGCCCTCAGAGGCCAGAGGAGAGTGTGGATCTTCTGGAACTGGAGTTACAGAAGTGTGACTTAATAGGTTCTGAGAATCAGACCCAGGTCCTCTGGAAGACCAATCAGTGCTCTTAACCTCTGACCCATCTCTCTAGCCCCCTTGCAGAGTGTCTATAGTGAACAATTGCATAGCATGTTAAAAACTATAAAGTAGAATTATAAGCAGTATTAAAAATATAAATGTCTACTTATATAAAATTATATATTTTATATATTGTTGCAAGTCTTTCTCAGTACTGCCAGCTCCCAAATAATGACACAGAGACTTATTAATTATAAAAGGTTGGCCTTAGCTTAGGCTTGTCCCACCAGCTCTTGTAACTTAAACTAACCCATTTATTTTAATCTATATTCTGTTGCATTGCTTGTTACTTCATCTCTCCATACTGCTCATGCTGCTTTCTCTGCCTTTCTCCCCCACCCCCCAGTCCTCTCTGTCTGCAGAAGTCCCGCCTCACCTCTTCCTGTCTAGCTATTGACCATTCAGCTCTTTATTAAACCAGTCACAGTGACACATCTTCACACAGTGTAAAAGAATATTCCACAACAGTATATAGAATATACAAAATATAGAATAGTGACTATCCACACATATGAAGGGAAAGCATATCACAGAGCTAAATAGGATGATATGGAAACTGAGTAGCAAAGATGCCCTTGATAAAGGATTTTTAACATGATTATAAAAAACTTTGCATGAACCTAAACTTGCAATAAAGTGTAAAGAATTTGTTATTGCCATGTTGGTCCTAAGTTAATCTGCTATACATAAAGCTTGTTTGCTTTGTTGCTTTGTTTGTTTAGGGCAGGAAGAAGATTCTGATTGAA